TACATAACAAAGAAAAAATAAAGTTCCCATTTTTCAAGACGCTGCTTGTTAAGCTTAAAAAAATCAAAGACTTGATGTAGCTTGTCTTGATGTAGTAACCCAAGTAACATTTCTCCAATTTTGTAAATTATAGATCAGGTCAAGCAAGTAATAAGTTTTAAATGGTCCTTAATGTTGTCTCTCAAAATATCTCCAATTAGCCCTAGCTGAATTGCTCAGTTGGTCGGAATGTCGTCCTATACACCAAAAGGTTGTGGGTTCGATCTCCAGTTGGGGCGTGTACAGGAGGCAAGCGATTGCTGTTTCTCCCTCCTTCTCAAAACAATACACATATCCTTGGGTGAGAATTAAAAAAGATTTTATTTAATGCCAATAAACTCACACTATTAATCGTAAAAGAAGACATCACAACTTACCTGTTGTTTTCTTTAGGACTATTACTTCCTTGCTCATCATCATCACTGAAATTCAGTTCTGTATAATCTACTTCCATCTGGGCACCTATTAAAATAAGGAAAACTCAGAAGGATTGCTTAGAAGCATCAAAAAATTTTAGACGCTTCATTAATTTTGCCTCTTACCTGCCCAACCTTCATCTGCTTCAGCATCTAAATTATCAAATTTATCAAGCTCCTTCAGTTCTGATGCACTAAGGATGGAGGGGCGTTCAGGCTCAGAGGCCCATGAAGGAGGTGGGCCTCTTCCTCGAAGGCCTCTAATGAATGAGAGGTTTTAAGGAGAAAGAATACAAAGGTTTAATAATTCTAAATTAAAAGATTAGAATTTAGTTCATTTCAATTCAACAATGTTTTATATACGATATACAAAATATAATGCATTTATATGAAGAAATTACAATATTAAAATATAAATTTAGGACAATACATAATTCTCATGCAAGTGTTTAATAGCAGACAAGGTTTTTAATTGTCAAAGGTTTAAAATAAAATAAATGTATGTTAAAGGAAAATATGGCTAATACTAATCTCAAAATACAGAACTTTAACAAAAACCATCATTCAGGAGGATGCTGAGCATTAAGCAAAAAGAGAATGGGGAGTCCTTAACATTACAGAAGAAGGGCTAGTAAACAAGTGCCATTGATTTTTAGTGCCCTAATTGACAGTTTTCAGAATTTTATGTAAGATAATTTTGTTGTATAAAAGCTAGCCAAGTATACAATTGTACTTTGAGAACAGAAAAATAAATCAGTCATCACAATCCACTCAACCGCCAGAAAATCTTAATGAACATATATATGTGTTTCATGTGGACTTTAATCATTTAGTAGTCTTACTTGTTTGTTTCAGATAAAGAAGGTGGAAACCTCATGGGACCATGAAGAGGAGGATATGCCATCCTCGGATACTGTTGAAACATCTGAATGTGGAAAACAAACATTGATAAATACCATTTGTAAGATTACCGCCTCCACCAAGTGTTTACAAATGATAACCACCAGCACACATCATAGGAAGAACTTGTTATCCCGTTAACAAAATTACATGAAGGTGATTGTGAACTGACATGAAAAACTAAAAAAGATATGCGTGCACCCCAGAAAACTGCAAAGCCTTAACCCCGTGGTCGGCAAACTGCGGCTCACGAGCCACATGCGGCTCTTTGGCCCCTCGAGTGTGGCTCTTCCACAAAATACCACGTGCAGGCGTGCACGTACAGTGCAATAGAAACTTCACGGTCCATGCGCAGAAGTCAGTATTTTGTGGGAGAGCCACACTCAAGGGGCCAAAGAACCGCATGTGGCTCGCGAGCCACGGTTTGCCAACCACTGCCTTAACCAACTTCTAATACTTGAAAGGAAATAATGTGAGACTTGATCCTAATGCAGGGGCAGATTAATTGAAGGCAGATTTGCTGATAAAGAGAAACTAAGTTCAGGTAAAAATAAGGGAGTTTATACCCCAAGGGGGGTGGACGAGGAGTGGCTTGGAGATTTCCTATGGGTAGGCACAGGTGGATTCTGAGTCAAGTTACTATGCAGACAGTAATTATAAACTGAGACATCTGGGATTTGCTTTAATAATCCAAGATGGTAGGAAACAGGAGATAAGAGTGACCACAAATTAACTGTTAAATATGGATGGTAGATATGGGAAGAGAGAGGTTCACTGTCCTATTATTTCCATTTTTACATATGTTTAAAATATTCCACAATGAAAAGCTAAAAAAGATATACCAATAAAGACTTTAGAACTAAAGCAGTATTAACCCTTTCTGTGCCATACATGACTCCTTTGGCAGTCTGATAAATTCTACAGACTTTTAAAATAAAAATGTCTTAAAATGCACAATCTATAGATGTGAAGTATGACAATTATACTAAAATTCTGTCACCACAATATTAAAAAAAACAAATGTCACATAGTAGTGTATGTACTTCTTTATTAGGTCATTAAATAACAAGTGGGTCTCTCCATGGGCCTAATAAATATTATGAAGTAATGTTGAGTATAAACAACATTTTGAAATATCTAAAATGATGTAATGTGATATGAAAATATCAATGACCCCTATTAATAATAAAAACACAGGTACTGTGATTTGTTTCCTAATTCATTATCAAAGAAAATGCTAATTTTTATTAGTTGTTAATGAAAATAAAAACCTAAACTTTTCCCCATTCCAAGTCTCTTTTTGGAACCCCGATCAAACACCTCTTATTTAAGCACTTGCGATTTAGCAATACTCACATAAGGAGGCATCATAGCTCGGTACTGGGAAGCCAGGGCAGGCTGCTGTCCATTCAGTTTAGCCTGTGGAGGACCACAAGCTATCCTCTTTTCTACTACTTTGAGGATGTCATTTTGCTCTGATGACCCAGCTGTGCTTTCATCCTGGCCAGGAAGCTTTTCATCTTGGTCAGATGTTGAGGGTGAGCCAGCAGACTTACCACCGTCTCTCCAACAAGCAACATCTGGTACAGAGGGAGATAAGAAAGGAGTTAAGGAAAAATCTGAAAACGTAACAGAGTGAAAATCTAATCTAGGCCCTACTAAAGCTTCAGGTAGTCGAGAGCAGTGGCAGAGAAGATGTACTTCAGAAGGTGTCACCAAAACAAAATATGTGGTAGGGGAAGAAAACATTAGTAGTTCTCTATTAAGCTTTACCAATATTTGATATTGAGTTTAAAATCACCCTGAAGTTCCTTAGGGTAGGGAGTTAAGAGTTCTATAATAATAATGCTTTTGACAATAATGCTCATTCATCTTTTCAATCAACTATTGCTAGTTATATGTGACCAAGTGAGCAGATTTAGTGACTATATTATCTGGTTCAACTACACTTAACCAAGTAAGACTGGTAAGTGGTTTTATAAGGAATCCTTGTTTGGTAGGTAGCCTCAAAGAGTCTTTTATCACCTGGTATTCACACCCTGTCTACCACCCACTCACAGTGTACCAGGACTGATCTGTGTAATCTGCAGAATAGAACAGAAGGAATGGCAGGTCAACACGAGTGAGCGTGGAACAGCAGCCTAGTAAAGTCAGTGTCAGATGACAGCTTTACTTCAACTGTGAAGGGAGTTCCTGAGCCAGAACCTCCAGCTAAGCTGCTTCCACATTCCTTGACTCTCAGGTACTATGTGAAACCATCAGTCCATTCAGTTTCTTGTTTTGTTTTTTAAATATATATTTTATTGATTTTTTACAGAGAGGAAGGGTGAGGGATAGAGAGTCAGAAACATCAATGAGAGAGAAACATCGATCAGCCGCCTCCTGCACACTCCCCACTGGGGATGTGCCCACAACCAAGGCACATGCCCCCGACCGGAATCGAACCCAGGACCCCTCAGTCTGCAGGCGGACGCTCCATCCACTGAACCAAACAGGTCAGGGCAGAGCTCAGTTTCTTGTTTAAAGTTGTCAAATTTGTTTTGCAGTAACAGATTAAGTGATGAAAATCAAAGGAAAATAGCAGAGCTGACATGCTATTCCTAATATAAATTCCTGAACATCATGGCACTTAAAAAAAAAAAAAGATGCCCTGATTGGGTGGCTCGGTTAGTTAGAATGTCGTCCCATCCACCAAAGGGCCATGGATTCAATTCCTGGTCAGGGCACATACCTACGTTGACGGTTTGTTCCCCACTTGGACGAGTATAGGAGGCAACCCGTCTGTGTTTCTCTTCCTCTCCCTTCCTCTTTCTTAAAAAACATACCCTCAGGTGAGGATTAAATAAATAAATAAAATAAGATGATTTACCCAGACCTGACAAGAAATAAGCCCCCAAATACAAAATGTATCAGGATATCCGAAATATGAATTTGTAACCATTACTGTAATGAGGAACTTCTCCAGGAATACAGGTCCTTTGAGATATTTGGTAATGACAATATGAAACTAATACAAATAATAAGCCTTAAAGAAATCTCAAAGACTTCATATTTCTATTTCAAATTTTTGCTTTGTAATATACATAATGCAAGTATCTCTCACTATCCAAACTTATTTGGTTCCTGGGTTTGAGTTCAAAAGCAGGGGAATCCCTCAATATTAATGGAGTAGCAAAAGAATAATTTATAAATACGTAAGTATATGCATATTGGAGGTTTGCCTTAAATATTTTACTATTGTAAGAACAACCAAATATTAATGTACAAATAAGTCACCTAGACATCTTGTTAAGATGTATACTTCCAACAAGTTCTCAAGTTGAACTGATACTGTTAATGTAGAAACCACACTTGAATGGCAAACAACTAGTTACTGCCTGCCTTTTAAAAGTAGGCGAGTCATACATACAACACTAGCAGGCAGGAAGTTACATCACAAGATAAAACACAAATGTAACCTCATTCTAGGTTTTTATTAAACAGAAAGTACTCTTACTTGGTGGGCGTAAACTGGGTCCAGGTCCATAGTTGTCATCATTTGCTTCTTTTTCTTTTTTTTCCTGATCCCCAGCTGCCTGCAAGCTGGGAAATTCTTGCTGAAAGTGACTATTCACCTGGATTCCTATAGATTTTTTTTTTTAAAAAAAACAACAACAGTGAATGTAACCTTCATACCAAAGAATATTCAAAACCCTCCCAGGATAGAGCTCTCTGCCTTCTTCTGGTAAATTATTGCATATTTCAATGATGATTATTCGTATCCACAAAACTTTTTAATTATTTAGATTTAGAATCCCTTGGAAAGTTAATGAACAGCCATGAGGAGATAAAGATCTAAGGAACATCCCAGACACTGTCACAGAGGACTCACTAAGATGAAGCAAGTGAAGAGTTTCACTTTTGTTTCTCTCTCATTTATTTCAGAAGTAAATTCCTTAATACCTCTAAGAATCAGTTCAAATTATATCACTGAAAAAGATATTTTTTGGTTAATCCTTCCTCAAGGATATATTTTCCACTGATTTTAGAGAAAGTAAAAGGGAGGGGGAGAGACAGAGAAGAACATCCATGTCAGAGAGACACTTGATTGGTTGCCTCCCACACGCACCTCGACCAGTGCTGGGGATCGAGCCTGCAACCGAGGTACATACATGCCCTTGACCAGAATCAAACCTGAAACCCTTTAGTCTGTGGGCTGACGTTCTATCCATTGAACCAAACCAGCTAGGGCTGAAATAGATTTTAATGAATACTTCAAGTACCATGGTGAGGCTAAAATGCCTTCATCTCATTGCCTACTTTCATTTAATTTACTGTTGAGCTACTAGTTGACCCTCACTCTTTACCTACCTACCCTATCTGCCTGCGTATTTATGTTATACTTGTATATATTAAAAGAGCTGATTTTATTAGCTTCAGGGCTTAGATGAATTTTTCCGTACAATATTTTATAGGTATTTCCTGTTTTTAAGTGGAAAAATTTTTGCTAGGGTGTCCACAATTCCCTGTGGGGAGAGTATTCTAACTATTATGTTTCGGGTTACTCTCTAGTTCTACTCTACCATGGAAATCATGAGCAGTATGTTTGAAACAGAGAGGTTAGGGTACATAGATGAAGATGAATATGGTTTCTAGCAATCTACATGTACTTGTCTCAAACAGTTGAAAGTACAAGCTTTATCTGGTCATGTAGGATAAAGATAAATTAATATGGGACAGCATGTATCCTAAAGACTCCTTCTTAAATCTTACTCATTATCATTAGGGCATACATAGCTCTTGACCTAGAATCTTAATTAGCCCAAGAAATTTTTAAAAGACACCTAATAGGGCCTGAGTATATCCTTTGACAATGTTCTTTGCCCCACCAGCACACTAATCCACCCTGTATCTTCTGCATGGCTGTTCAGTAACTATCAAGCCTGACCATGTGCCCCAGCTAATGTCCACTTACCATCTCCTTGCCCACCTTGCTTGTTACTGGCCCATGATTTTGGAGCAGGTGCTACTTCTGGGGGAGCTGCAACCCCAGGTTTTGGCTGTGCTGGTGGAACTTCTGGTGTTCTTAAAAAAAATATGAATCCATTATTTCAGATATTTTGTTTAAATAAAATAAACTGAATGTTGTATTTAAGGTGAATTTCTGTACAATTATTCTGGCTACATATTTACTCACAGATGCAGCCTCCACAAAAGCTTTCCCTCTGCAACATCCCTTTAAATGAAGTATAGCTGTTTTTGTCCCCCTTCATTTCTACCTTTGGATAAATACCCCAAGAAGACAGCTCTGCTTACTTCCATTTTGTAAAAAAAAAAGAAACACCCATTATTGAACATAGCTCCCCAAAACCTATTTTGAAGAAGTGAACATTTATAATTAGAATTATCAGTTTAGACATACATACAGTCTGGAGTGATGGAATTAGCCAGGGGATAAGGCTAATAAGGCAAGCTCTCCATCTGGCAGTAAACAGGTTCAACACTGTACTTATTTCTGTATTCAAAGGTAACAGCAATCTGCCTAATGCACCCCAAGTAAAAGGGTTTACAGTTTTATTCAATCCCCGTAATGAGTTAATGCTTAAATATGGAAAAAGGTGGTTAAGAGACTTAAGAAATCCAATATATTTCTGGTATACTCGGACCTTTGACTTACTACTGCAAAATAATTCTACAACTAAGAAGCCGAGGACAGTCCATCTTTGACAAGCTTTACTCCAGTAGTCAAATCTACTATAGAGAGCTCCCCAAACAAGAGCACAGAAATTTGATGATATAGGCAAAAAGCATTAAGTACCCAGATACTTGCCTTATTATTTTTAAATTACTGCTACTTAAACTGATCATTCAACAAATTAAGAGCCTCACATAATCCCTGACATACAGAATGTTAAATATTTGTTGAATGAATGATGATTAACAGGGACACTAATTCTATTCCAGCTTTCCTGCTAATTCTTTATTTAGTGAAATAATACCACTTGAGCACCTACAATGTGCACCAGGCATAGTTTCAGGGAACCAGGCAGACAGAAATTCTTTGTGCCATGGAATTATTTAATATAATCCACTTCCAATCACACTAGAAAAAGAAAGCCTGATTTGGTAGGAGTCGGGGAGGAGGGAACCTGACAGAGGGTTATAAGAAAAGTTGTTATTATCAACTGTCATTGTTCTGTCTTAACCTATGGAATTATTGCCACTAAATCCACTTACAGGGAAAATCAATCAAAAGTTTGACTCGATGAACTTTAAAGGGCATGACATATACCATATATCCAGCACAACACCTAGCTAATAGAAGGAACTTAAACATAAGTTCCCTACCAAGAAAGGGGGCTGGTTTCACTCTTTACTAGACGTTGACTTACTTTTCTTCTTCATGCTGCTCTTGTTTTGATGCCCATCCCGTGCCATCTTTAGGTACAATGTTCACGTTAGGATCATTGCCTTTGTTTTCTGCTTTGAGACTTGGGAGGTTAGCGGGTGGAGGCATGCGTCGTGAAATACCAACTTTTCCAAGACTCTGTAATCCATGTCGAGCTGCAACTAAAGATCAATAACATCAACTTTCTTAGAACATCTATTTTATTACCCACTTTATTCTTAAAACAATATAGAAATAGAAATTAATGAAATCTGGAACTATTATTTCCTAATATTTTAAGGTCAGAATCTTTAAGCTACACATCTGCAACAAAATCCAATGCGGAGATTATATTTAAAATAAACTATCAAGCCACTAACCAGATGCTGTAAAAATTCTAACAATAAATCCTATACACAATGAAAAGGTGAACACTGATAATGCCAGTTTTGTAATTTTTTTGGAGCATCTATTTCAAACTCAAAAACTTAGTATGTTAAAGAATAAATATGCTGATCTTATGTGCATAATGAACACTGCTCATGTAACATATGTGGTCCAGCTTTCACTTTTCATTGTAAACACTGGGTTTAAGGTATCAAAAAACAAAACCAAGAAACCACAGGACTCTTTCTAGTCGATAATATGAAATGGAAATAAATCCCACTAACATGTATCTCTATGCCTACCAATCTCCTTGCACCAGTTTCCCCTTTAGACCACACAACTCTACTTTTCTGCTAATAACAAACAAGAAAAACAAACAACCATGTTTATAGATTTTAATTGTAAGATATATAACTTATATCCCCTGAAAAGTGTTGTATACATAAAAAGCTAACTGTAAATAGGGTGTGTGGACATGGGTTTGTCCCACTTCTTAGCAGCAAAAGCTCCAATGCACCACTTACTGGTATAGTAACAAAAGCAAAAAAGCCATAAAAATATAAATGCCATTTAATTTTACTCACCTGTGGTTTTCTGAGTTTCTAATGATTTACCCTTGTAAGTATTAAATAAACTGAGTGTCGCATACTTTTTCCCATCCTTTGCTTTTGTACTCTGGCCTGACTTCTCCGACATTTCGGTGGAAACTCATCGAGTCCAAAACGGCCGGCCACACCCCTTAAAACCAGTCTTAGAGATGCACATAAAAAAAGAAAAAGAGAAAATTTTATAATTTATTAGCCTTCTAAAAACTCCTAAAATTCAAATGTTCACAGAAATTCTGAAAAAATAAAAACACAGAGAAATGAAATCAATCTTCAATTAACTCACATCAATAAGAATTCACAAATTAGCTCTCATACTATTGCCCTTCAGTTTAAGAAATGCCCCAGGAGCAAACCTACAAAGCCCACCTGTATCTACACCCATCTTTCCCAAGGGCTTCCCTTCCTCCACCCATGGTTATTGCGGTTCTCAGCATCACCTAGAAACTTGTTAGAAATGCAAATTCTCAGGCCCACCCCAGACCTACTGAATCAAACACTGAGGATGGGCCCAGTACTCTGCATTTTACTTAGCAAGTCCTCCAGATAATTCTGTGACATACAAAAGTTTAGGGCTCACTGACTTATTATAAGCAGATATATTCTAAAGAGTGGTTCTTAATTCTCTCTGCACATTAAAATCAACCAGGGGATTTCAAATACATGAGAATCTGGGGTGCTGGGGTGGGGCCTGCACATCAACCATTATTTTGAAAAGCTTCTCTAGTGATTCCAATAGGAGAGCAGTCTTCACACTCACTGCCACAAAGGAAGTGTGCAGCTTTCCTCCCATTCCACCTGAGGCCAGACCTTCCTCCCATGACATCCTTCCAGTCCTCATCTTCTTTCTCATTCTAAATTCTTCTCTGTAGGGAATCTTTCACTCCCATGGTTTCAACTACCAACTGGTCACTCCAAAATCTGAATCTCCAGCCCAGAACTCTGTGCTCCTAAAGAACATATGCCACTGGCTATTTACATATCTTTGTTTTGAATGAAGTTTCAACTTTACCTCAAACACAGGCATCTATTTTATATTAAGGATTTAAGAAATAAGATGACCATGCCGAAACCGGTTTGGCTCAGTGGATAGAGCGTCAGCCTGTGGACTGAAAGGTCCCAGGTTCGATTCCGGTCAAGGGCATGTACCTGGGTTGCCCAGGAGGCAGCTAATCGACGTTTCTCTCTCATCGATGTTTCTAACTCTCTATCTCTCTCCCTAACTCTCTGTAAAAAATCAATAAAATATATTTTTAAAAAAAGAAAAAAAAAAGAAATAAGATGACCAAATTATTCTACATAGCACAATAGAAAATGGTAGTTAAAAAATTAAAATGACAGTCAACAGACAACATTTCAACATTTGACAAAATGTGAAAGCTATAAAATAGAACTCAACAAACTGAAGAAAACAAAAAAATCTATGCTATGGACAATTCACTAGAGAAATACCAATAAGCAAATGTATCAAAATGTTCAATTTTATAAGTAAACAAAAATTAAAATAACAAGGTAGGGGGTTCAGCTTGTCCTTGGCTTACACAAGGAAAACAATATAACATTACACAAGTGAACCACAGGGTGACGGAATATTTAATTCAATTCTAGCCATCAAAAAACATTAGGGCTTGGAAAGAATCATAAAATGAACCTAATTTCTCTATTTAATAGCAAAACCAAACCAAAAATTATAAGTTTCCAAATACAGCCCTGGCCGATGTGACTCAGTGGTTAGAGCAGGGGGTCCTCAAACTTTTTAAACAGGGGGCCAGTTCACTGTCCCTCAGACCGTTGGAGGGCCGGACTATAGTTTAAAAAAAAAAAAAACTATGAAAAAATTCCTATGCCCCCTCCACATATCTTATTTTGAAGTAAAAAAACAAAACGGGAACAAATACAATATTTGTATTTGCATGTGGCCCTCGGGCTGCAGTTTGAGGACGCCTGGTTTAGAGTGTCAGGTCTTGTGTTCGATTTCCGGTCAAGGGCCCATGCGGGAGGCAACCAATTGATGTGTCTCTCTCATATAAATGTCCTCATGCCTCCTCCCTCCCTCCAATTCACTGCCTAAAAGAAAAAAAAAGAAAAAGAAAAAAAATGTAAATCAATAGGGAAAAAAAATTGCCAAATACAAAAAATAAGCAACTGACTCCAAAAGCCACAATACGGTTTATATTAGGTCAAAGTAAAAGTGACTGCAAATATATTAAATTAATATTTGAGTAGTTCTTTTTAAGGTTCAAAATTCTATAAAGTTTCTCCTCCCACTATTAAACTACTGTCTATAATATGCTCTTCAGTGTTTTCAGATGCTTATGAGTTTTTATGTTTTAAAGTACTTACTATACCAGAAAAAGCAGACCACAAATACATATGATTGAAGTTAGAGTAAATGAAATGAAAAATAATCAAAAATTAATTGATACACATCGATATGTGTGAGAGATACCCATTGCTATAAACGAATATGTATTTCTGAAGGCTAAGAATTTGTAGCCATAAATTATAAGACTGAATAAACAAGAAAGTCCAATTCCACTATAATGGTTTGCCCATTAAATGTGGGCACTTTTAGTTTAAAGCCAAAGTTTAATTTAGCCTACTACCTTTTTTGGTGTTTTGCTTCTGAAAGGCTTGAGAGACACTCTGAAACTCTCAATTAGATCAAAACTTCATCAACATATACTTGAGAAAAAAATCAGTGACTAGTTTAAAAATATTACTTAACTACATTAAATAAAATAATGTATATATATATGCCCTAACTGGTCTGGCTCAGTGGATAGAGCGTCAGCCTGCGGACAAAAGGTCCCGGGTTCGATTCCGGTGAAGGGCATGTACCTTGGTGGTGGGCACATCCCCAGTGGGAGATGTGCAGGAGACAGCTGATCGATTTTTCTCTCTCATCGATGTTTCTAACTCTCTATCCCTTTCCCTTCCTCTCTGTAAAAAAACAATAAAATATATTTTTTAAAAAATAATGTATATATATTTTTAAAAGATTCCTTTTAGGACAAAGTGTCAAAATAATCTAACCAATCCAGAATAAGCACCATCAAGACTTAGCTTCACCTTGTATAATTTATTTAAAAATACTTAAAAAAATTTAAGTCCTGTTTGGATGACTAAAATGAATTGAAGAATCATGGACCCAGAGCAAGGAAGAACAGTGATAACTTACAGATGGAAAACAAAGTGAGCCCTATGGTTTCCTGAACTTATTGCCTGGAGACTTCCCAGGTCATGGCACTAAGGAGTTCAAGTGGAGGCTGGTAGATTCCCTAAGTTGAAAAAAACGAGTCTGATACCACAGGGTGACCAAAGTAACTAGGATATAATATTGGAAAGAAGAGAGCTATCCAGATAGAAAAATGCTACAGATCTGAAGAGGACCCCCTCGTATATTCAGCAGAATACTACTGTGCACACATGTGTGAGGAAATGACCCTAAGCTAGGGAAGAACCACTTGTAATAATTAGATGAATAATGTCTGTTGCTCACTAAGGGCTGAGAATAGTTACTATTCTCACCAGCTAAGACATTTTTTAAAACCTCATAATTCCCTGGGCATTGGCAGAGTATTCAGGAATGTCTTATCTGATTGGTGGTAAAAAAGTACCCCTCGAGCAGTGGTCGGAGAACTCATTAGTCAACAAAGCCAAATATCAACAGTACAACAATTGAAATTTCTTTTGAGAGCCAAATTTTTTAAACTTAAACTATATAGATAGGAACATTGTTATTAACTTAATTAGGGTACTCCTAAGGCTTAGAAGAGCTACACTCAAGGGGCCAAAAAGCCGTATGTGGCTCGCAAGCCGCAGTTTGCCGACCACAGCCCTAGAGTAAATACTGCTCTGGTCTTGCCTAACAAATCTTAAAGCAACACTCGAAATATCAAAGTGTTTCCAGAAAACTGAGTCCCAAACAAATTTAAAGAATCTATATATATAAAAGCCTAAGCGACACAATGACTGGTTGCTATGATGCACACTGACCACCAGGGGGAAGATGCTCAACGCAGGTGGTCAGTGTGCTCCCAAAGCTGGGCACCGCTCAGCTGTCCGCCAGGTACCAGACACCAGGCTCATGCTGGTGAACACAGCTCCACAGGGCACGAGCCTCTCCTGCCACAGGTGCAGTGGGGCTGGGATGAATGGGAGCCACGTGGCGCCCTCTCCAACCACCTGCCACTTCGAGGGGTCCTGGATTGCGAGAGGGCGCAGGCTGAGGGACCCCACCGGTGCACAAATCCATACTCTGGGCCTCTAGTATTTATATAAAATGAAAGTATCCAGCACCCAAGAAGATAATATCCACACTGTAGCGTCCAATTAAAAATTATTATTCAGCCCTGACCGGTTTGGCTCAGTGGATAGAGTGTTGGCCTGCGGACTGAAGGATCCTGGGTTTGATTCCAGTCAAGGGCATGTACGTTGGTTGCGGGCACATCCCCAGTAGGGGGTGTGCAGGAGGCAGCTGATCGATCGATGTTTCTCTCTCATCTATGTTTCTGTAAAAAAACAATAAAATATATTAAAAAAAATTATTATTCAGCCTGGCTAATGTGGCTCAGCAGCTGAACGTTGATCCTGGAACCAAGAGGCCATCAGTTAGATTCCTGGTCAGGGCACATGCTCGGGGTTTCAGGCTCCAAACCCATTGTGGGGGCGTGCAGGGGAGCCGGTGAGGGCTGACAGGAGGCAGGCGATCAATGATTCTCTCTCATCATTGATGTTTCTATCTGTTCCCTTCCTCTGTCTCAAGAAATCAATAAAAACATATTAAAAAAATCATTATATAGGCAAAGAAACAAGAAAATATGAACCAATTAAGGAGAATAATCAATCAACTAAAACCAACCCAATTGACCTAGATGTTAGAATTACTGTACAAGAATATGAAATGTTCTTTTTTTTTTAAAAATATATTTTATTGATTTTTTACAGAGAGGAAGGGAGAGAGATAGAGAGCTAGAAACATCGATGAGAGAGAGACATCGACCAGCTGCCTCCTGCACATCTCCCACTGGGGACGTGCCCGCAACCCAGGCACATGCCCTTGACCGGAATCGACCCCAGGACCCCTCAGTCCGCAGGCCGACGCTCTATCCACTGAGCCAAACCAGCTTCGGCTGAAATGTT